AAGAGCACTCAGCAGCCCATTGAGTTTCCCATCCCAAAAGCAGACGACCTGGGCTTTGGGATGGAAACTCAGCTGGCTGCTGAGTGCACTTCTCAATCGGCCTCACCTGGGCCCCGCTTCAGCCTGTGGGGTCCAGCTGTCACAGGAATCCCACTAAGGCAGCTTCCAGCCATTCCCCGCCCTGGATATGGGATCACTCTGCCCTGAGCAAGAAGCTATGAAGTCGGTTTAGCAACAATCTCCCGGCCCTGATGCCTCCCCTTTGTCATTTTCCATCCATCCGCCAAGCCCCTACCCGGCTCCTGGGCTATGGACCCCACTTGTCCTGGCTTCTGGGACGGAACCGTCTCTCTCCCCTGTGCAATAGTCTTGAATAAAGTCTTCCTTGCCAAGGGTCAGAATAATTCTTCTTCACCAGGGCCCCTGCTTTCCTAGTCACACCAACCCAAGCCCCGAGGTGGAGAGGGAAGCCTGAGCCCCACCATTCAGGGGCCAGCCTGAGGTCATCGGCCGCCGCCTCCTAACAGCACCCTGCTGATGGGCATCCCAGAGACCACCAAGGCCACCCCCCACCCCCACCTCGCGGGAGGGGCAGCCTCGCCTGAGTTCATTAATCTCACACTGGTTCACGTGTCAAAGTGCATGTGATCTCTTGTAAAAATGATCCGGCTGCTAATTAGGCTGTTTATAACTTGTTTCCCTGGTCGCTAATGATAATTAACATGCAAATTAGCTCAGGGAGGGGAGGCTCTGGGGCCCCCGGTTCATTACCACGTTAATTACTGTTTGCATACGTAAGTATCACAGATATAAATGGCGGCATTTAGTGTAACGGGCAAGACGATAATTATACCAATGGCATTTTGAAAAGTCATTTCGCTGTGTTATTTTTCTGCGTGATTAATGATTCCGGGCTGCCTGGTTAATAAACTTCGTTAGTTCACACCAGCACCGGCTGTGTACACAGCCCGGCCCCCAGCTCCCGCCCCGCGATCATCAATCTCTCCCCGGGGCCTGTTGGTTGGGAAGTTTCAGGGAACGGAAAAGACAAAGGAGAAAGTGGAGCTTCCCGGGCTTCTCCGCGTGACGGAAGCAGAGCCCTGCCCTGCCCAGTTGAGTCCAGGAGGCCTGTGACTCTAGGCCAACCTCATCCCAGGGAAGCTGGGCTCTCCGCTGCCCAGTGTAACGCAGAGGTCAGAGAACACGCCTCCGTTCAGCCTCCCTCCCTCGTTCCTTCCTTCACTCCTTCCCTTCTCTCCTACCTGCCAGGCACCTGCTGGGGGGGTGGCACCCCCTGCACTCCTCACCCACGCACCAAGGAGGAAACACCACCGGTGCAAACAGGAGTGTGGGTGGCAGAGGGGGTGGGTCCAGGGAGCAGCAGTGGGGCTGCATGAGGTGGGGAAGTCGGCCAAGGTCTGCCGAAGGAAGAAGGACTGCACCCAGACCTCCGGGCTGTGGGGGCAGCAGCCAGCAGTGCAAAGGCCCTGGGGCAGGAACGGGCTGTGGGGAACAGGATGGGGTTCAGCCCAGGAAGGGGTTGGCGTGACTGGGCTGAGTGGCCAGGCACTGGAAGATGAGGGTGCAGATTCCAAGTGTGGAAGCGGACGGGACCACGGTGGGCAGCCTGGAGTGGGAGCCTCGCAGGGGTGGGAGATGAGAAGGCGTCACGCCCAGGGTATGCCTTGGCAGGGAAGCTGGAGGCCTGCGGATGGGCAGGTGTGGGCGTGAGGACAGACGAGGCCTGGGAGGGGCTGTGGGGTTGTGGCCCCTTCCTTGACCTAGCCCTTCCCCTGGGGCTGCGTGGTCAGAGTCCCTGCAGGCCAGGCAGGATGCTGCCGGGCTGAGTGTCCGCTTCGGCCTCAGAAACCAGCCACACAGTTCGGCAAAGCTCCTCCCTACCCAGAGTGCCGGCCCCAAGAGAGCCTCTTCCTCCAGCGTCCCCCAAAGGCACTCCAGTCCACAGCTGAGCTGCGGGTCCACAGGAACCCCCAAGCCTCCACGGTGCCAGGATGTGAATATGGCAAACCTGCTCCTCCGTAAAACAGGCGCCTGGCCCTCGGCCTCACCCACAGCAGCCCCAGAATGCAAAGGGGCCCTCAGAAGCCACCCCTGCAGCTCGGATGGCAGCAGTGGGAGCAGCTGGCGGGTGGCGGCCGGAAGGATGGGGGCTCCTCCCTCCACTGCATTATTGATCAAGGATGGAACAGGAGCCCCAGGGAATGAGAGGAGCCAGCTCAGGGGTGGAGATGGGCCCTGTCCCGCCTGCCGGCTGCCGGGTCTGCAAGAAGCTTAGCTCAGAGGGGCTGCGTGGAGCGGAGAGGCCTCCCCAACCCCAGGCTCCGCCAGGGAGGGCTGTGCACTTCTCTGCCTGGCTGTCCATCTGCAGGTCCTGCCTGTGTGGCCCAGGGTCAAGAGGTGAAAATTTCATCTGGTGACGGTGATGTCCCCCGGCCCTACCCTGGTCCCCTGAAGCTGCCCAGGTCTCCTGGACGATACCCCAGGTAAACGCCGGGGCCGGAGGGGCTCCCCTGAGCTGAAGTGCTCCAAGTCACGGGGGAGTGTCCTAAGCCCCGATAGCCGGGGCTCTGAGGGGCTCACACAACCTGGGAGGGCGATCTGGGGCGCGTGGGATGGAGGTGCCCCTTGGGTGGGGTGGGCACCTAGCCAGGGAAATGACCAGAGTTGCACCTGCTCTCAGGTCAGTAGAGCAGGGGAGCACCCCGAGAGAGCCCAGGGCCAGGGCCACGCTTTTGGGGTTTGGAGTGCAGCCTTGAGCTGTTGCTAAGGCTTCCCCTCTCTAACCGGGGCTGGCTTAGCCAAATTCATCTCCTTCCCCAGGTGAGCACCTACCGGGGAAGAGGCGCAGGTGGGTGGGGAGGCTGCAGCCCTGGGGAAGCTTCGAGGAGGCCATGCCTTGCAGAAGGGCATGCAGGCCTGGCTGGGCCCTGGGCCTGGGCTGTGGGGTCCCCCTGCTTTGTGCTGTGATGGTTGGGGGACAAGGACACGTGCCCCACCACCCAGAGGTTGCCAAGGCCCCGGAATCTTGCCGCCCACGCTGGCAGCCCCCGGCAGCAGGAGCCTGTGGCCCTCCCTCCCAGCTGGGGAAGATCAGCCTCAGGCTGCCGGCACTGGCGGGGTTTCCGAGGTCCTGCGGGAAGGGGCTTGGTGGCAGCTCACAGCTGGGCCTGCCTCCCAGTTGCCAGCCTGACCTTCGAGGGCACTCGGGTGTCTGGATGACAGGGGTTCCGCTGACCAGGGTGAATGAAGCGCACCTGTTTGCGTAAAGACCACAAGCCCCGGACTCCTCCTCCCCGTCCCTCTCAGGGAGCCTCTGAGGCGGCCCTGGGAAGGGTTCCTGAAGATTCCCTTGCCCAATGGGCACACCCATGCCTGCGCTGGGGGAGCAGAAGAGGAGCTCCAGACAGGCAGGAGAGCCTAGCCCCGGGGCGGGCACCTCGCTGCTCTGTGGCACCTGCAGAAGCCGTGCCTGTGCCAGCAGCCCCCGCGCGGCCCTGTGTGCACAGCTGTGAGGTCAGCCAGCTCCACTGTCAACTGCTCTCACTGGCGGCTTCTCTGCTGTGCTCCTGCTCAAGCAGAACATTCTGGAGATGGCCCAGAGCTCCTCCCAGACAGTGGCGACTTTAGCCCAGGCATGTGGTGTGACTGGGATGTGTCCTGCCAGCGGCGGGCCCTCCGGAGGGCGTCTCTGGTGGGGACCGCGTGCTCCAGGCCCTTTCATTTCTGCGGTCTGAGTGCGGGGGGTGAGGGGGGCCCTGCTAGGGGCTGACGCAGTGTCCTGCCCCTCCTCCCACCTAGCCAGGTCTGACCACATAAACTGGGGCGGCCAGGCAGGCTCAGAGCAGGAGGAGCGGCCCCCGGGGTGTTGGGAGCAGCTCCTGAGTGCTTTTCAGCAGTCTAAGGACAAGTGGTTGTTGCAGGTGGGGGCCGATTCCTGCAGGTGGGGGCTGATTCCTGCGGGTGGGGGCTGATTCTGTGTGGACCTGCTCAGTCCTGGCACCCGGGGTGTCAATGCAAGTGCGTCCAGTCAGGGCCGAATGCTTCCGTCACCCTCAAACCCTGTTTCCCCCGAAGTATCAGACGAGCCAGCTCCCCACACTATCAGTCCCCAGTGGTCTTGAGCGGGACAGTGCGTGGAGGGCAAATGAGCAGCGTGCCCTCTGCTCACCTTGAGTTGGAAATGGTGGAAATCCTTTGGACTCACATACTAAAGGAACACAAACCCGAACACAAGACTCCGAAGCTGCCAGGCACCGGCCTCGGCCTCCCTGCCCAGCTGCGCTGCCAGCTTTTGTCTGCGGCCGAATGTGAAGTGGGGGATGGCCTGGAGGAGGCCCTGGGGTTACCTGCGTCCAGGTGTGCTGCCCTCAGGCAGGGGCTGCGATCACGGCTCCAGACCCTCCGAGACCGCCAGGCTCATCCAGCCAGTGCCCGTGGGCTCAGGGCAGGGCACTGTGCGCAGGGCAAAGACGCAGGGGGCCTATCGGCGCTGCTTCGATCACAACTGTCGTGCAGACCTGCCACCTCTGTGCCCCAGGCCTTCCACAGCCCTGGTGACAGCCCCACTCCATTACAGCTCCTGCCTAATTAGGGCAATTAAAATGAAAGTGATCAACATGGAGTAATGGGAAATGTCTTAATAAACCTCCCCCTGTGCTACCCACACAGGCCCTGGGCCCTGGTCAAAGTCATGGAGCTGAAGAACTAGGCCCGGCAGCCCCGGCCCTGCTGACACCCCGCCCTGTACCCTCAGACTTGACCCTGACTGCTGTGTCTACACTGCAGGAGCTCCACACGCTCCCCAAAGGGCGGGGCGGAGCGGGGCTGGGGTGGGACCAGGGCCTGGTCACTTCCGGCCACAGCAGGGCGCTGCAGGACAGCCCGGAGACCTGCAGGTGTTGACGCTCTCCCAGGAAACCACGGGCTGTGCCTTCCCCAACCCGCACGCAGCAGTCTCGGGAGCCCCACCCAGGCCTGGGTCCCCCACCACCCACAAGAGCACCTGGGTCCGCAGGGCGCAGCCAGCTCAGCCTCCGAGCTGCAGGCCAGTGTGAGTGTCTGTGGGGTCCAGAGGGGATGCCGGGGCTGCGTGTTTCACAAGGGAAGAAAGGGCCATCATTCTTCAGGTCAGGAGGCCTCGGGAGGCGGAAGAGGGGAGTACCACGGGCTGTCCCTGGAACCTCAACCTCAGAACTGAACCCCCCATGGGCCAGGGTGGCTCCCCCAACCCAAGGGCCTGGCAGGCACACTGGGCATCCCCCTCAAATGGCCCAGGTGTGAGAGCGTGAGCAGGGTGTGGCCCTGAGTCCAGCTGAGAGGGCAGCCTTCACTGACAAGGGCGCGCCTTCCTGAGGGGCTCAGGTTGGGAGGGGCCGAGGGCGGGGCTGGCCCTGACCCCTCAGGCCACCGAAACCCTCCCACCATGCGCATTCAGGGGTCAGAAATTCTGAGAGGGCATGAGCTGGGCGGGGCCACTGTCCCATTCCTCAGCAGAGGAGGAGGCTGAGGTCCCAGATGTGAACAGTGGGAGGCAGCCCCAGCCCAGGACCCCCCAGTTTTCACTCCGTGGGGTCTGCACTGACCCTGGGGGCTCAGTGGGAAGCTGCGGAGGTGGCTTGAGGCTGGGCATGGGCAGCCACAGGGAGGTGAACTGGCCACCCTCTGTGTACCCACCATGCTTCTTCACCCCCAGGTACAGTGAGGACTGGACATGGGCCCGTTGGGGACCCAGGCATGATGTCGGCCCAGGAGCTGGTGGCCTGCCTCTGCCGGGAGGGGGAGCAGCACCTGGCACTGGGGGAACCACCCCTGGCCACCGCTTTCTACCTGGCTGCCTTCAGCTGCCACGCCCCCTCGGCCGTGCAGAGCGTGCGCACTGCCCTGGCCCAGGCTCGGGGGGCAACAGTGCTGGCCACCCTGGAGGCCTGGTGCCGCGGGGACAGCCAGATCCCCGCCATCCACTGGGACGGCATGGCAGTGGTCTCCCTGACGGGGTCGCTGGCCTCCGCCTTCCTGGGCGCCCTCTGCCCGGACCACCCGGCCGCCGTCCTGCACCTGCTGGCCGGTCTGCTGGCCCGCGGGTGCCACGAGGAAGTGGCACAGCGCTGCAGCGCCCTGCTGGACTCTCACTCCCAGCAGGTCCTGGAGCTGCGGCTGACGCGCGCCCTGGCCTGGGTCCTGTCCGGGGCACGGGCTGGGGACGGCGTGGCCGCCTACCTCCAGGCTTTCGCCTCCAGCGCCGACAGGACAGTGGCTTTCATTCGCACCCACCAGCAGCCCTACCTCCCTGCGCTGCTCAGCGCCCTCCAGGACTACCTGTCGGGACATCTGGGGGCTGGGCACAGTGCCAGCCAGCAGGAGACCGGCGGCCAGCGACTCCTGGCAGCTCTGGACCCCAGGGGCACCCGGAGTGACACCCTGTCCCCTGAAGCTCTGCTCCACAGCGGCAGATATGAGGACTGCCTGGCAGCCTGCAGCCGGACCCTGGAAGCCCACCCCACCGGCAGCGGACCCCAAGGTAGGAGAATGGCATGGCCCTGCATAGCCAGGGTGAAAGCTGCCCCACTACCCTCCCCACGTGATTATGTCCTGCCGTGATGGGGTGAGGCTGGGCTGGGGCTGGGGCACCTGGGTGACAAGAAAGTCAGGCCCTGCCCCTTTGGAGCAACCAAAGACGCAAACAAAATGCACCCTTTAAGAAATGGGGCACGCAAGGTACTGCTTCAGCCGGTGATCAGGGAAAGCTTCTCGGAGGAGGGGTCACTCAGGCTGAGACTGAGGATTCCAGGCAGCAGAAGCAAATGTGCCCATTCCTGAAGGGAGCAAGAGCTTGGGCTGTCCCTGCCACTGTGAAGGCCAGGGTGGCTGTCGGAGGGAAGGGTGAGGGGATGGCTGCTGAAGACGGCAGCCATGGGGCTCCATCCTCCTGGCCTCCCAAGGCCCTTGGATGTCACCCTCAGCGCAGTGAGGCTAAGCTGTGGGGCCAGGTGCTCTGAGCTGCATTGTTTTAAATTTATTTGCTTATTTATTTATTTTTGAGACGTTTCGCTCTTGCTGCCCAGGCTGGAGTGCAGTGGCGCGATCTCAGCTCACCGAAACCTCCACCTCCCAGGCTCAAGAGATTCTCCTGCCTCAGCCTCCCAAGTAGCTGGGATCACAGGCATCTGCCACCGTGTCCAGCTAATTTTTGTATTTTTAGTAGAGACGGGGTTTCACCATGTTGGCCAGGCTGGTCTCAGACTCCTGACCACAGGTGATCTGCCCGCCTTAGTCCCGCAGAGTGCTGGGATGACTGGCCTCTGAGCTGCATTTTTAAACTTTCCTCTGGCTGCCGTGTGTAGAATGTGCCAGCGGAGACAGAGTAAGGACAGGCCTGCTCGAAGGCTGAGGGGCTGAGAGGCTGGGGGACTGAGGGGCTGGGAGGCTGGGGGACTGAGGGGCTGGGAGGCTGGGGGAC